AATAGATATGTCTTATGTTAATGCCAATTCAAGTGATTCATTGACGTTTTCTGAATTTTAGATTTATTTCCATCACTTTCCCATTTGCAATGGAAATAACTCAATTCTTTTAAAGTTATCTCTAAATATTCTAATAGTTTCTCCATATGTAATTCCTTGTATTCTTTTACCCTATAAATATTATTAACGTCAAAGATTAAAGTTTCTAAATTAAAATCAATTAATGCTAAGGTATAATATTATAGTGTTTTATCATTTCTATGGATTTAAACATCTATCAATTAATGTTACGAATGTATTTTGGCTACCCCAACTTATTACTAAAATTATATGAAATTACTTTAATTTATATAGTGCCGATAATTTTTAATCTATAATATTTTTAAAAAATTTATCCATTAACTGGATGTTTTTAATCAATTCTTATTGTTTTTTTACCAGTATCAACTTAGACTATTCTTAGATGCTGAAAATGGATAGTAAATCCCTAAATTAGAAATTTTAATATATATATATATATGAAAAATACCAAACAATTATACTTTTCTTTGCCAAGTTTTAAAATTTTAGCCCATTTTTGTGGTTTTGAACTTTGAGGGTGTGATTTATAATTTTTAAAATTTTGAAAGAGTTTTTAAAAAAATTTACTTTTAAGTTTGGTAGTTGTAAATTCTATGTTTCAGGTGTTGATGGTAATTTTTTAAATGTTAGTATATTTCTTGTAACTCTAAAATTTTGAGGGTATCTTTTACAATTATTAAAACTATAGATTAATTTTGAAAAATATTAAATTTCAGCGGTCTATCAATCGACGAATTTGATGTGTGCTAGTTAAACATTTTGAAAATTTAGAGTTTTTTTACGATTTTTAAATTTTTTAAAAATTTTGAGGTTAATTTTGGTAAATTTTAATTTTTTAGGTGTCTAAGGGTAATATCTTGAATTCATCTTATTTTATTTACAAATTTTAGAATTTTAGGGTGGCTTTTTATAATTTGAACTTTTGAAGGTGTTTCTATAATTTTTGAGATATTGAGGGCGTTAATTAAAAAAATTAAATTTAAATGTCAAAAATTTTAGGTGTATCATGGTAATCTCTTGAATTCATCTGTCTTATTTGTAAGTTTTAAAATTTTAGAATTTTAATGTGCTTGTCTGTAATTTAAACTTTTGAGGGTGTTTCTATAATTTTTGAGACATTGAGGTGTTAATTATAAATTTTAAATTCTTTGCAAACTGATGTTAATTTTTTAATTTCATGTTTTTTATTTTAAGTTTTGAGACATTTGGATGATTTTTATAATTTTAAACTTTTCAGGGTCTTTTTTGTAATTTTAAAACTTTTTATGGTTTTTTTGCAATACTTCATGTATTATAATATGTTATCTACTTGTAATTTCTTTATCTTAACAAACTAATATCATTTTTATGTTTTATATATTTTGTTAATATTAGTTTTTTTAAATTGTTAAGCTAAATATGGTTCACATAGGATTAGGATAAGATATGATTATGATTAGGATAGATTAAGGTATAAATAAAATATTCAAAATAGTGAAGGGTAATATTGACCATTGAAAATTAGAATTTGATTATAGATAAGGTAGTTCAAACTATAAATGGGTATATTTGTCTAAAAAAGATTTTCCGAACTCGTGCTTTTAAAGGGAGTATGACTAGTTGAGATGCACGTGCAATGCACGTGGTTGAATATCATGATTATTTAAATTAATAACAATAGAGTAAAAATAAAAAAAGAAAATAAAGTTTTTTTTGGATTGATTATCAACTCAATAATCTCTCTCTTAAATAAAATATTGTCATTGTTTCCTTCAACCCAGACTGTGACCATATGATCTACTATTTGTGAGTTATAAACACATTAATTTAATACAACACCTCTATTTATTAGTATCTTGAAGTCTTCAAAAGATGGGTGATCATTCGACTCATAAAAGAATTTTGCATATGAATTTACTTTCAATATATCGTTAAACTTTTAGTTGTGGTTTGACTCATATTCACATTAACCTTTAGTTATTGTTTCACTCATATTTATGTTATATAATATTCTCATTCAATTTTATAGTTCATTCTCTGTATTATAGAAGTAAAATTAAAAGTATAAAGAATTATTTTCTTACGAAATTAGAACAGGAAGATTATAATATATTTCGCTATGTACTCTAAATATAAATTTTTTTCTTTGATACAAGGTCCCTCTCAAATCTTACCCTAAACGATGTGAATAAAAAATACTATTATAACTCAATTACATAGGGCAATTGTATTGTATATAGGGTACATAACTCATATGGAATATCCACATCTGCTAAGTGGATTTTGTTGTTGTGAGAGCAACATGTTAGATGCTTGTATTCAAACTTTTTAACTCTATAAAAGACACAAGAATTTTGAGTGCATAGCTTATATATTGTAACAAACATATTGATTCATGAAGAATTTTTTTTCCTAATAACGATATTATTACAGCGATGTTACTATATATAATATTTTTAAATAAATTATAAGGTATATATATGGAAACCTCTATGCTTATAGTCAATAGTTGTGCTCCACAAAATATGTTAACTTTACATTATAGTTTGCTATTTGTAGTATTATTGGCAATGTCATTACCTTTCTTTTTTATCTTATTATTCACATTTTTCTTATGTAAGTTCTCTTTTGTTAATCACTCAATTGGCTATATTTAGTTTTTATAATATCAGAGGTTAAAATATTCTTTTCTACTTAAAAAGTGTTGATATAATTTCTTAAAAAATATATACACATAGTAGCAATAATATGTACTTAAGCTCAACTCAAACATTGACTTGAAGCCATTTAGAGTGAGGTCTTTTCTACGCTAAAATGGTGATATAGTGATTACAGAGTCTAAAAGTCAAAGAAAAAATTTCTACAAAGAAAAAGTAATTTAATGTATCAAATTAAGAAGTAATTTGTAAATTATACATTGGCAATGCAGATAGCTATAAAAAATAATGTATATATCTTTATAAAAACTTCATAGTGAGTGACCAACTATAATCATCCTAATTTTAGCATAATTAATTATTATTTTAGTTACTAATTTGATACGCTTAGCTATGAAATAAATCTCCAGCAAAAATAAAAATTAAGATTATATTATGTTGTAGGTAAATAAATAATTGTTATTAGAGCTCCTCTTTATATTAAATTTAAAAATAATAATTTAAATTATTAAACACTAAATATTAGCTCATGTGAGAAAGTAAAGTAATCTATGGTCTATATACGTTTATAGTCAATCAATCAAACATATTAAATTTATGATGACCACAATCAAAATTATATGGTGGATCACATTAAATATAATTTATAAAAAAATAATACATTAAATCAAAAACTTTTTAACCATTATATAGATTATCTAAAATATTTTACATATATAAACTATATTGCCTAGGAATAATGATGTGCGCACTTAACTATATTAGTATCTTAAAGTCTTCAAAAGATGGGTGACCATTCAATTCATAAAGGATCTTATATAAAAATTTTGCATATATAAATTACACTATCTAGGAATAGTGATGTGTTGTACACTTAACTATAGCCTAATAATCTTAAGAACGACTTACTCTTTAATATCATAATTAATTGACTTATTTATGCATTATACTGAAAACACAATAAAAATTTAGAAAACTACAAAAAAAACACCCTAAAAAATTTAAAAATTTATAAAAAAATACTCTAAAATTTTGTAATTTATAAATACACAAAACTATTAAACATTACATTGAAATAAAAAAAATTCAAAAAATCATTGAAAAATTTTAAACTTTGGAGAGGTAATTTACAACGTGCTAAACTTTAAGGGTGTTTTTTCTGTAAATTTAAAATTTAATAGATTTTCAATCATTTATGTTCTTTTCAAAAAAGTTATGGATAATTTTGACCATGAAAGGTTTTCCCTAAATCTATACTTTTAAAGTGAGTATGATATTTTTTGTCAAATTTTAGTTTTCTAGGGGTTGTTAGTAATTTCGTATATTCATTTTTGTGTCCATAGGTTAGAAATTCACATAGTATTTTTTTATAAATTATGAATTTTAGGGGCGTTTTATAATTTTTTAAACTTTTAAGCCTTTTCTAGAGATTGTAATTATTTATAAACTATTTATAATTCCTATGCTTTCAATTTATTAATAAGTTTGAAATTCTCAGGGTGTTTTCTTTAAATTATAAATTATGTAGGGGATATTTATAATTCCTATATTTTTAATGTACTATTAGCTTAGAAATTATTAGATTTTTATAAATTTGCAATTCTGTGGGTTTTATTTTGTAGTTTGTAAAAAGTTCAGAGTATTTATTATAAATTCCATAAAATTTTGGGGGTTGTTTGTGTTATTTGCAGGTTTTTAGTGTGCTTATAAGTTTAAAATTTTGAATGTGTTTTTTTAATAAATTTTGAATTTTTAGGGGTATTTTTATAATTTTTAAAACTTACAAGATACTTTCTCCAAAGTCAAAATTTTTTTAGTTTCTAGCTATTATATATTTTTTAGATTTCTCACTGAATTGAAATAAGTAAAATTTATAATTTTAAAGATGTTTTAATAAAATTTTAAATTTATAAGGTTGTTTTTGCAAATTAAAAAACTTGGAGGATTTGTTTTTTAGATTTCTCTATGAACTGAAAAAGTAAATGATTTGAATTATATCAAACGTATTTTCTTTATCCAATAATATGTTAAGTCTCGTTTTAAATATGATAAATCATTTAGTTACTAATTCAAAAAAGATAAGATAATTAGAATATATTAGGATAACAATGTAATATTTTAAAAAGTTGAGGGTAATACTGACCATGAAAAGATTTTTCCGAACTCGTACTTTTAAAGGAAGTATGACTAGATTGGAAGTGTAGATTTCCTGAACGATTTTACATAGACAAGTGTGTGGAAAAAAGAAGATATTATGCTGAGATTTATGAGAATAGATGATTCTTACGTTCCACTACTTCCGTCGCCCTTGAAGGACATGAGTCCCTTAATTCCACCGCAGCAGCTGTGTCCAATTACCACTATGTTCTCCACCTGTTGTCAAAACTTCTCCCGTTAGAAAATCAAATATAAAAATCAACATTTTCGCACTGTACAATAAAAGTCAATAAACTAGTTTCTTCAAGGTGGGAAAAGTCGTCAAACTATGATCCCATTATTAATCCACAATGGACTTTAGAACTTGTAAAGCTCTATCGAATATATAAAATTTGTGCGCTATAAATCAAAAACTCCCATGTTGTACAATTAAAGTTGGATCATTTCAGATATATTTGACAGATGTGATATTGATATTCTTGAAATTTTCTCCCTTATATAATCTATATGGGTCTAAACTAACAGAGAGCACAAATAAGAGACAAGATTAATCCAACAACCCATGTCTCCTTAAAATAAACGGGAAAATGCTTCTAGCCCCCCAAAACAAAAAAAAAAACTGACAGAGAGCTTGATTGGGCTTACAACTTTATGGGCTTTCAAATGTCATGAAGTTTGTAGTGGTTCCCACTAACCTAGTTTATATCTCTCTTTCTCCCTCACGTGAATCCTTCTATTCTCTTGTCTCTCTCTCTCTCTCTCTCTCTCTCTCTCTCTCTCTCTCTCTCTCTCTCTCTCTTTATCATGATGTTACTGTGATGATAGTTGAAATGATTGATGGAGATTATTATTTTATTATTTTTGTTTTTTATTATTTTCGTTGTTGATGAGGGGAACTAAGTGTTTTTGTTTATATTGGGAGATTATTAAGGTTACGAGTTATTTGTTATGATTACGGGTCAGTTGTTAAGGTTATGGGTCGGTTGTTAAGGTTACGGGTTGGTTGTGAAGGTTACACGTTGGAATATATATACAATAATATATATTTAAGAGTCTTTGATTGAGCTCTTTGTATTCTAAAAATATTTTTAAAATATTCGTTGTTAAGGATAATGGTTGGTTGTGAAGTTTATGCATTGGTTGTGAAGGTTACGGGTTGGTTGTTAAGGTTACGGGTTTGTTGTTAAGGTTACGGGTTGATTTATATGTTAACTTCACAACCAAAGCGCAACCTTCACAACCAATGCATATCTTTAACAATCAACCCATAACATTCACAACCAACCCGTAACCTTACCAACAAACCCATAATCTTAACAACCAACTCGTAACATTTACAACCAACCATTATTCTTAACAAGGAATATTCTAAAAATATTTTTAGAATACAAAGAGCCCAATCAAAGACCCTTAAATATATATTGTTGTTGTAGGGGTTTGAACCCCTAACTTCTTGTCCAACCTTCCAAACTTTACCACTAGGCCAAGTGACTCAAAGTTTTAATGCCACTCAAAATATATATACATATATATCCCAACGTGTAACCTTCACAACCAACCTGTAACCTTAACAACCGATCCATAATCTTAACAACTGACCCGAAACCTTAACAACTGATCCATAATCATAACAACTGACCTGTAACATTAACAATTAACCCGTAACCTTAACAATCTCCCAATACAAACAAAAACACTTAGCTCCCCTCATTAACAACGAAAATAATAAAAAACGAAAATAATAAAATAATTATCCCTATCAATCATTTTAACTATCATCACAATAACATCATGATAGAGAGAGAGAGAATAGTATTATGATCTTCACATATTTTAATCTCTTGGGTTTTGTGCGTTGGGGCTCAGAGAACAAAAAAATTATTTTTAAGGACAAAATACCAGTTGAAAAAGTCTTAGAAGAAGGGGGAAGCGCGTTTTTATTTTATTTTAGGGGCTGGAAACATTTTTCCCTAAAATAAATAAACCAAGATAAGAATTAAGTGTGAGAAGTCTGACCTTGAGATGAAGAACCGCGTATTCAATGGCTGCCCCTGCTCCTGAGAACTTGGTCTGCATTCCCAAAAGAAAACGCAATAATCATTAAATGCAGGGCCCACTGGTCATAGTATGCGGAAGAGAAGGTGGGTATGAATTTATTAATAATAGAGTGGTGTTAGGGGCACACCCCCTACCACACCACTAACCACACCCCCATCTCCCATCGCTACAGTAAACCGGGCCCCACATGGAATTTTAAAATTTTTAAAATCCTATGTGGAGCCCGGTTTACGGTAACGATAGGAGAGGGGGTGTGGTTAGTGGTGTGTTAGGGGGTGTGCCCATAACATTATTTTTAATAATAATATAATTAAGCGTTGTCGTAAGGTGGGACCATGGCGGCGATGTGCGCAGCATAAAAGGCCTCTCCTGGGGAGAAGTTGAGGATCACCGACGGGCACACACGCGAGTCCGCACATGCGAACACCATGAACTGTTTTTTCCCCAATAAAAATATGAAAAATCATATAAAGAAAGGAGATAAATCAGTAAATTTTATCTTTTTTACAAGAATTTAGGTTGTTTATATAGGATTTCTACTTTACATTTTAGACATTATTTTTCTTATCTAGCGATGTTGACAAGTTTATATATAAATTGGAAACTTTATTCTTCCATTTAGTGATGAACAAATGTTGAATGAAAGTTATAATATATATATATATATAATATATATATATATATAATATATATAATATATAAGACCAAGCCACAAAAAGTAATGTTTGGTAGGGAGGTCAATCCCTCCACTCATTGAAATTGGGATCCCATACTCACCACGTTGGGAGTGCTGGCAAGATAAATGAGTGAAAGAAATTGACACCTCACTACCAAGCACCAAATTTGTGCGTACCAAGCATCATCTTATATATAATATTAAATATATATATATATATAATATAATATATATAATAAATTTAATTATAATATATATATAGAGAGAGAGAGAGAGAGGAGAGAGATAGATGTAATGTACGAGCACAAGCAATTTAGTGCTTGTACTAAACATACCATTATTAATATATATATAATGATTATATATATATATATATATAATATATATATATATATATATATATATATATATATATAATATATATAATATAATATAATATATATATATGATAAGAGCATATGGGTATGCTTGGTACCAGCAAAAAAGTTGTGCTTGGATAATGATGTGTACATCCCCTCCACTCATTAAAAATATGAAACCACATCACATGGGTAGTGAGTGGATGAGGATGTGACACACATCACTACAGAGAACAAAATTTGTGCTTGGTACGCCAAGCATACCCATTTCCTCTCTCTCTCTCTCTCTCTCTCTATATATATATATATATATATATATATATATATATATATATATATATATAATAATATATATAAATATATATATATATATATATATATATATATATAAATTGGTATGTTTGGTACCCAAGCACAAATTTGATACTTAGTAGTGAGTGTCATATTCTCATCCACTATCCATTCAATTCTCAACCACTCTCCAAATCATGTAAATGGGCCCTCATTTTAATGATGGGAGGGAAATATGCCACATCACTACTAATAATAAAATCTTGTGCTTGGTACTAAGCATACCAATTTCTCTCTCTCTCTCTCTCTCTCGTCTCTTCTCTCTCTCTCTCTAATATATATATATATACTATCATATATATATATATATATAATATAATATATATATATATATATATAATATATATATATAATAATATATATATGAATGCAGTGCTTTACGCGTGACATTATTTGTTTAATATATATTTAATAAATTATATATAATATTTTAACAAAAGTTATTTTATTAACATATGATTAATAATTTTAAGTTATACTATTATTAGTACTTAAACTATTATTATCATACATTTAATAGTTATTTAAATTTCCTTATTATTATGTTATTGAACAGTTTATTTAAGAGTATAATTATTAAATAATAATATAATCATTAGTTTAAGTAACAATATTAAAATAAATACATTATTTATATTATTAAATATTTATATTATGTACATATTTTATTACAATATCTATTAAATAATAGAAATAAGTTTTAATATTATATGACTTTATGTTGTAAAGAATATTACCTTGTTTGATAATTAATACCATCTTAGTAATAAAAATTGGATGATATAAATTAAAAATACTATTATTTAGGAAAACTACTTTATATAAACATATTGGATCCTTAAAAAAAATTTTATGAGACATTTACTTTCCTACAAAAAATGCATGTCTCATTAATTTTAAGGATCCAATATTTTTATATAAATTAATTTTCATAAATAAAAGTATTTTTAATTCACAACATCTAATTCACAACATGGGTTGATGAGTGCATGAGGATATGAAACCATTTGAATGAGTGGAGGGGGTTATGACACCTCACTACCAAGCACAACTTTTTGTGCTTGGTACCAAACATACCCATTTTTCTCATATATCCTGACTATTTTCCGAGCTTACAAATTTGGGAAATCTCTACATTCTATGAACTTCATCCTTGGGGTTCATGGTTCGACGAGGAACGTTATGATACAGGCTTAAATCGTTTTCAAAGTACCATCTGGTTCTACAAAAAACTTGAAAATTTATTCGAGGATTATTCCTACTTTAAATCGTTTTCAAAGTACCATCTGGTTCTACAAAAAACTTGAAAATTTATTCGAGGATTATTCCTACTTTATGACTGACGGACTTCGAATCATCTTTCTACAAAAAACTTGAAAATTTATTCGAGGATTATTCCTACTTTATGACTGACGGACTTCGAATCATCTACACAGACATTATGTAATACCCTCTAACCTTACCTAATGTTCTAATCCGGTTCTAACAACTGTCTCCCTCACTCTTTCTATCTAAAAGATTAATATAGTTAGTACATCCTAAGCATAAGTTCATGACATTTTATAGGTAGTTTTTCTATAGTATGTGAAATTTGATGGTTGAAAATTTATGGTAAAATTTTATCAAACATATAATTTATGAAATTTACACTGAATCAATGTTACTAAATGATTAGGGTAAAGTAGCAAAGGAAATAGTGGATGGAGGATAAGACAACTATGTGATAACAACACCCATGTGAGGGGAGCCACGTGAAGAAATTTACTTGATTAATGGCTTTGTCCTTTGTGGAAAAAGGAAGAGTAACGTGTTAGGTTGGTTAACTAAGGCTAGTCAAACTTGATTAATATTCTTTTGGGGTTATGTGAAATATTGCATTTTTAAGTATGAGATTCAAAGGGGTGGTCTTGTTTTTATATGGCGGCTAAAACTTCCTTGTGACCTGTTGTTTTGTCCTGAACAATGACTACATGCTATATTACATCCTATGCACACACTCTTCACGCTTATGGTATATAGGCTCTAGCATCTTTAACAAATACAATGTAATCTTCACAAAACCTTTACCTACTCTACCTAATCCCCCTTTTATCATCTTTTAAAAACCCCTCTCACAAACTCATTCTTATTGGGGAAAAAAGTTTCTCACTGGACGAAATAAAGAGAGAGAGAAAGAAAGAAAAATAAGATAAGAAAAGAAAAAGAAGGAGGAACGAGAGATTGGCTAATTGAGAGGAGACGGAACGGATATGGATTTCAACTTCAGAGTTCAAATATAGGCAAGCATTTTGTCTTGCTTTTGTTGAGTTCGTTCTCCTTATTATTATGCAAGCATTTTTGTCTTGCTTATTGTTGAATATTTTTGTTTATGATCTCAATTCGTAGTATTCTATTATTCTTGAGTTCTCTAAGAATTTGTTCTTATTACTATTATGCAAGCAAAATTTCCTCTTTAATTTCTTTTTCAATATTAGTTTCCATGTTACATAATTATTGTGGATTAAGTTTGTATGCCCAAAGTTAATGTAAGCATTTTTATTTTAGATAATGATTTTTTTTTCTCTAACAAGAAAATAAATAAATTTTAAAGATTCAGATAATATTTTTAATATTCGTTTTGGCCCAGTTTAGACAAATTACGTATTTTCCGGTTATTTTACAAACCCCTCCTTCTAATAAGTTTGTTAATATAGTAATCAGAACTTAATTATTATATGTACTTCTGCAACAATACATTTCACATGTTTGTGCTTAGCTTAGTGGTCACAAGACTTGGTTACTAAGTCATTGGTCATGAGTTCGAATCCTATACACGAGCACAATTTCCTCATTTTACATGCTTGCTGGGAGTTTTCTGACTCCTCTGGGGTTTGTTCGCCCCAAATTCGGGAACCATTCTTTATTCGCAGGACCGAGAGTATTTCGAGGGGCAAGCTCAGCAACAGTGATCACTTGTTGTTATATCAGTTCTATACTTCCCTTGTATTAGGTAGTTACATCGTTATGAGACTTGTCATATAACAAACTTTGGTATTTCAGACTATAATGTTGTAAGGACCGTGAATTTTTGATACTAGTTAAAATAATTTTTCTAGTATTTTAAAATATTTATTTATTATTTTAAAAGAGTATTTTTATTTTTCTCGATTTTCTACAATTTTCTATGATTTAAAAATCTGATTATATATTTATTGAAATGATTTTGATATTTATAAATTTATTTTATGCAGTAAAAATTTCTAGAATTAATTTGTTGTGTTATCGGTACTACTACGTATCATTTTAAATAATATATCGTATTATTAATATTATTATGAATTATTTCGTATAATAATTTGTATTATTAATTACATATCTTTAGTATAAATTGTTGTATTATTTCTATTGTTACATATTATCTGTCGAATTAGTATAACTAGTACGTTTTACTGTGTACGTAATTGTCCCATAATTATTTGATTTTAAATGTAAGTTAATATATTTTTATTATTATTTACTCTTGTTTAATTATACAATATGAGTATCTTTCGACTATTTCGTATCAATTGTTGTAATAGCACAACATGTACGTTTTTAATTATAGATAATTATTCTGTAATTAGATTATTTTTTAAATACCTATAATTATTTTATTTTAATTATTTAACCCTAACCCTAACCCTAATTACCTATATATATATAGGTATATGTTTCTCCTGTTCAAAAAAAATCAAACCCGCAGCCACTGTTCATCATCACCTTCGCCGCCTCTCTCTCTCGACAATATGAGTATCTTTCGACTATTTCGTATCAATTGTTGTAATAGCACAACATGTACGTTTTTAATTATAGATAATTATTCTGTAATTAGATTATTTTTTAAATACCTATAATTATTTTATTTTAATTATTTAACCCTAACCCTAACCCTAATTACCTATATATATATAGGTATATGTTTCTCCTGTTCAAAAAAAATCAAACCCGCAGCCACTGTTCATCATCACCTTCGCCGCCTCTCTCTCTCG